CCCGAAATGCCGTACGAGAATATCAGCATTCAACAAGTCTTCATGGATGATGGCAAACTTATCAGCGCTTCGGCCGTTGCACGACACTATGAGAATAAACTTTTAATAGGCAGTGTGATAGACTCCTTAGTATACTGCGAACTAACACCATTTTAATTGAGAGCATACACTGATAAAAAATATAGTCAACTTAGGCGATCTTGAAATTAAATAATGTTTTGACATGTGTCATGTAAGTGCAATTCCCATTAACCATAAGCCCTCAAAGTCCTCACAAAACTAAGATAACTATTCAATTTACTAATATGTTTCACGTTTCATGGTCTGGTGTTACTTTTCATTTGAATGATAGCGTACTTTATTTTTGTGTACACTTGTGTGAAATATACGTCATATAGTTCGCCTGGGTGCCTTCCGTGAAAATAGTAGTATCAAAATCAGAATTACTTTAAAGTTGACTACAGTACTTTTCAACTAACTATAATACACAGAAACATTGTAAAATCTACATTACGTGAAGTAAGATATTTAAAGTAATCTTTATTCCATCAATCATTGTAATTCACAATGGCTGAATCAATTGAACAAAGGTGATCACGTGCAATTGCTGTCTGTATCGTCAGGAAGGTATTCAGTAATTATCGTAATATGCTCCCGTTCTTGCGCGAATCAAAGTTGTGTATGTTATATTTTCGCTGTTGTATATCAAATATAGTCAGTTTTAAAGGGCGGCAGTCGTCGTGCCGCGTCCTGTTCGATATGGGACTCATAGCGACGTATACAACGCGTGTAAAATTTGAACACGCGCTGCGCGACGACCACCGCGCTTTAACATTATTAAGTGTCCACGCAATAATTTATATTCATACGACACATAATACCTCACTGATTTGTCATTTACGTTAGATAAGCAAAATCGGGTCGTGTTTTTCGTTTTGTGAAAAAAATGGTTCGTTTCCACAAAACTGAAAAAATAAGTTCCTACGATACTTTGCCACTGTAGGTTAACGTTTGGTTCAGTAATCTGCAAAGATTATCTTCATGATTATAACATTTCTTATATCGGAAATTAGTTTATGTCATGGTATTTTAGTCATTTCGGAAACATTTGGTGTCTTTAAATATGTTGTCTTTAGATATTAGAATTGTATCCACACAGAAAAGCTATGGTTTTTCCCCATAGACTTGTGTAACATAAACATGCGACCCCACCTCGTTCAGTGATCCATACGACAAAACCTCGACAATTACTAAGAGATACTACTCTTGAGTAGTAAGTAGGAGATCATTTAATATGACAACCTCAAATGATGACATCATACTGGTTAATGGTTTATTTAAATTTAGAGGGCGGGGTTTATGTCAGAGAAATAGGTCATGTTTTCGCTGAGAGTGGAAATGAAGGGAGAATTAGTTGAAGTTTGCGCTGGTTGGAGGGTAGCCTCGGTCATCGTTCTGTCCATAGAAGACATTACATTGCTATTCCCGAAAAATAATAAGATGTTTGACAATGGTGAATTGGTTGCTAGTACATATAATTTATGACCCTCGCAGTGGACAACGGTAGGTCAAAGGTCAAGCTAGTGAACACGTTAATTGACATAATACCGAAGACCGTGTGCTGGGTTGAGTGATCTAACACGCCAACGTTGTGACACCGTTCTCCAGAATGTTACTACGACTGATTGTATTTGTGGTGTTGGCAGTGGTTGCCACGCGTCTTTGTAAACTTGCGTGAGTATTTATAGTTGTGGTTATTGTGTGCCATGCTGCCGTGTCCTCATTTTACAGACCACTGACATCGAATAGTAATAAAATGGCCAGGTAGAATGGCGAGCGTTAGATGGAGGGTTTATATCGACGTTCGCATGAGTCGTGCAAAGTTGTCAAAGAGGCAGTCTCATGACACGGTCTTCTATAAATGTTCGTATTGCAATTTAATTAATGACCAATATAGCAGACGTAGCTACAGATAAATATTCCATAACTTTGCACGACGTGTAATTTAGACCAGACAAACATGTAGACGTATACTATTCAGCCCGTGACACTAAATGTGGCTCTCACAAACACAGTCTGTTGGCATGTGTATCGCTGTACACGTAAGTAAAGCAAGGCGTTTAGCCACGATTTTGTAGTGGCAAGTCGTGCCATTTTGGGGCACGAACTGGTGGGCTCCCGCACTGTTCACCACTAGTTCACGTATAGTTCACCACTAGTTCACGTATAGTTCACGACAAGCTCACGAATAGTTCACACTGAATGGAAAAGCAACTTTCATTATGCAAATAAGAATTAGCGAAACTGTCCCCTGTCAATCACCGTTTATCGAAAAAAACAACTTAAAAAGATCTATTGAACGGCTAAGTTTGAGACGTACATTTTGGATTTCAACATTCCCATGCTGTATCCTTGGAAGGAAAAGATGTATAATAATAAGTTTATTACAAGGATACCTCAAAGTATGCACTCAGACAGTACGCCGTCGCTCCGACCTCCGCTGCGCGTCGGTCGATACACCCGCTGCACTGTCTTCGTGCATACTTTGAGGTATCCTCGTAATAACCTCATATTATTGTTGTATAGACGACCATGGTTTTGTGGTCGGTCGATTCAAGTATGTCTTGGTTACCGAGTACGGAACGATGGTAGGACCCGCATTTCGCCAGTAGTATTGCCCTTCTGAGTAGTTTTCGCCTCAACAGTTAGTTGGTAAATAAATGATTAAATAAACGAACGAACGAATGAATGAATGAATGGGTAGATAGTTAAGTAACTTAATATTTCATGCCAGAAATATTTTTGTTCATTCTCAGGTACATCTTGGGGTATCATAAGGCAATATATAACCAGTATCCAGGTCCCTGTAGAGTTGTGCCTAATGTTGGTAAGTACGCCACACATAAATTATTGATATAAAATATTCCTTGACATAGTACTATTAGACTACGGTCAGGTGGCGTACACATGTAATCTAATAAAGTCTATAAATTTACCGATATTTATTATATATTATACTATGAGGTTATTGCGAGGATACCTCGAAGTATGCACGAAGACAGTACAGCGGGCTGGGGCATTATAGACTCAGCAATTTCAGTGATTTTCCTTGGACCCACATATCCCATGGTGGGATGGTCGGGTTTACAATGACTGGTACACAAGCAAGTTAATCGAAAATAAATTGTTTAGTTCCTAATATTCGAGGACTGCTCATTTTCTAGGTGTTTTCTATGTAAACTGTTGTGAAAACCCGTGTCGTATCCCGTCGGGCATACATATGTGAAGAACAAAATTTCACTCTGTTTATAATTTCATAACACTAAAACAAACATTCACATACTAACTTCTTGTTTTGTAGATAAAGGTTCAGAAGACATAACAGTAACCTCTGATGGTTTGGCATTTATTTCCTCGGTAAGACGTTAGTCCGTATTTTGCAGACAATGCACAGTGCCGTAATCTATCTGAGTAAACATAATTGGTTTTAATTCTGGTCTTAAGTCAACGGCTGAGTGTACATTGCCTCAAATCATGTTTCAGTCGGACTGTGACGTATTCAATGCTATATTCGAATGATGAACAAATACCAAAAATAGGATAATTTTTAGACATTATACACATTCGCGAAATTAAACCACACCATCGTACATAGACTAAATAGCCAATTGTTAATAATGTGGTTAACTTCACACACATGTTCATTTTTGTAGGGAGTGACGTCACCGCGATATATACATAATCCGCGACATTCACCCCAATTAGTCAAAGGTCGAATCTTTCTATTTGACTTTAATAACCCGGATGAAAATGCTACGGAAATTTCACTGGTGGGAAATTTTGGCAGGGATTCGTTCTATCCTCACGGGATAAGTCTCTACGAAGACCCCAAAACAGGTACTGTTTACTTTTGTTAATAGAGTACATTGTTTATTCTTGATCCGGCCGTAGGTTGCGCTTCCACTGTGTCTTTTGCGTGTGTCTTTAATAGTTTGTTTGTTTCTGAGTTGCAATATTAAACAAATTCACAGAGATTCTGTTGTTGCATAAGTTCATTTATTATTAGGATGACTACTCGTTAGGAAAGTGGGGGACTAATAATTAACAGTTATGGGTTAGTTGGTTATAACATGTCAAACAACTAATTGAATGTGGCTGTAATGTGCCTCAAAGGGGAATTTCGGGGATTACTCGCTTCTGCAGTGTAGGGATACCATAAGACCTTATAACTGAA